CTGTTGCCCTGCAGAAGCTTGTTGACTGTCTCCCTCTCCCTGCATTGTGAAGATGAGGCCGCTGCGTTGCCCACATTTCTCCCGGTGCCGTTTTGACCCCTCAGCACTGGCTGGACCCGCCTTGGGCATGGCCTTCCCATCATGGAGGCCGGGGCTGTGTTGTGTTGTGCTTTGGGAAAAGGGGGTGTGGGTGCCGGTGTCACAGAGGCCCGTGCCCCGGTCTGCCCCACCACAGACGGGCCCTTCATCTTGGGTGCTCAGCAGGCACCTGGCTCCTAGGAACTCCATGAAAATCCCCTGCCACGTCGTGGGCTTTATCTGCCTTTAACCCACAGCCACCGTGAGCGGAGCGGCCTGTCATGGCCCTGTATAGGCGAGGAGATGAAGCTTTCTGGGGCACAGCTTCTTGCCTGATGTCACACGACGGATCCTGACTGGAACTGTGTGCCCAGTGAAACCTCAAATCGCAGGTGGGTAGCGTAGGTTGAGCCTGCCTAATCAGAAAATCCCAAATCCGAAGGGCTCCGAAATTCAAAACTTTTGGAGCACCGACATGACACCAGAAGCAGGAAGTTGCACGCCTGTGCTCACATGAGGGCTCACAGACGCAGGTGGGGACTGGCAGCCTTGGCACCGTTCGCTGCTGCCGTGGCCTCAGGGCTGAGGCGGGTGTCGCGGTGAGGCCGCTGTGCTGCTTAGGCACCCTGAACACCTCACGTTTTCACTGTGTCCGTGGTCTGTGACACTGTCTACCGTGAGGTACTGAAGCGTGAGTAAGTGCAAGGGAAGGGCTGCTTACCAGTAGCGTAGAAATTCAGCATCAGGAGTGGTAGCGATGCCACACGACCACAGACTGTCCAGCGGCTGGCTGAGGGAGTGAGTGACACCTTTGCTTTCCGATGGTTCGATGTACACAAACTTTGTTTCGTGCACAAAATTATTAAAAATATCGAAAAAAATACTTCCAGGTTATGTGTATAAGGCGCATATGAAACAGAAATGGATTTCATGTTTAGACTTGGGTTCCATCTCCAACATATCTCATTGTGTATACGGAGATATTCCAAAATTAGAAAAATTCCAAAATCAGAAGCACTTCTGGTCCCAAGCATTTTGGATAAGGGATGCTCACCGTGTACATCGGAAAGGTCTCAGACACCGGAGCACATTGCGGGGGCATTTGAGCAATGGCTCTGTCCACAAATCAGAATGGGCCCTGCACCCCAACCGATCACTGGCACCCAAGGTAGCCAGGAAAGGACGGCCCTGTGGGATGTGTTCCTCAAGTCATCTGTAAGATTCAGAAATTTTCCCATCCTTGGCGAAGTAACTGTTAACCCTATTCACAAAGCGGTGGTGAATTAGGCGGGATTACAGAGCAGTGCAGGAATGTTTAGCTGTGTTGGGACGTTTGTACGGAAGTTCATTTCACTGAGACTGTGTGAGTCTTGGAAGAAGTACAGCTTCTCTCCTTCACATCCTGCACAGACATTTAGAGTGATTGAAAGCAACAGGTGCACTTACGTGTCTCATGTGTGTTCCAGTGAAGGTGTGACACAATGCAAGCCATGTTTTCCTGCGAGGCTCTGAAGAAAATAGCCCCACTGCCTGCTGTCTGTAGAGGCCCTAGCAGCCCAGGCAGGAGCGTGGAGACAGGTGGGCAGTATCATAGTTTGACAGAGCCCTGTGCTAGCGTGTGATCTAGAGGGGTCAGGCGGCAGGGCAGGGCTGGCCAAGCTGAGGGCTGTGTGACAGGGAGCCAACTGTGCAGAAGGTGTGGGATGGAGTGGACACGGGAGACTCGGAGGGATGGGTCCAGTGTCTGCAGGGAGCTTGGCACGCACAGACAGAATGTGGAAATAAAACCACCACGGCGAGTACGCGGCACCCTTGCATTCAAACATGAGGCTGACTGTCTCCGTAGCAGAATCGAACACTTAGATGTGAGTAACAGCAGTGGTCATGGGGTCTCAAGAACGCTTGTTCTTTCTTTTTTCATAGCAGTGGTTTCTCTCCCATCATAGTATGTTGGTCCTTCCTGCGAGTTTGCCCTCTTCAGGCTGGCTGTGTTGGCTTTGTAGTCCTGTGGCAGGCCGTTCGCCTCTGCCTGTCCTTCAGCTGCCGCCAGTCCAGGGAGGACAGCCTGGCTCCGCGCTCCACCTCGCGGTCTCCAGAGCCTCTGCTGCTTGGAGCCTGCAAGCCCTCCCCCTCCCAGTCTGTGCGAGCTGCCCTCTCCTGGGTAGCATGCCATCGGCATGTTGTGCGTGAGGATGAACACCAAGCCGGTCTGAATGCCAGTCGGATCCTGGAGTGCAGCTGCCCTTTTAGCTTTCCTTTGTATGGCTTCCCTTCCTGCTCCCGTGTGTTCCTGGGAGCTGGTGCAGGGAGACACAAAGTCCTGAATTCATCTTAGTGTCTCGCTTTTGCGTCTCTGGATCTCTCTGTCACCATTTATTTTATCCTTAAAAGTATGAAAAAGGGATATACATGCACACATACAGAGGCACACGTCTATACATATATACAACACAGAGATACACACTCACCTACACGCACACAACATACATCTACACAGACGCAGCACAGGCATGCACAATATATATATCTACACACAGATATGCATGTACACACGTACACAACCGAGACTTATCACATACAATCTACAAAGCAGTCTCTTGGAACCTATTAGAAACACGGATTGGAGTATGACCGAAGCAGAGCCCCAGATTCCTCTTTTTGGTCCTCTTTTTCATTTTTACCTGTGACCCAGTTTCCTGGATTCTTATCAATGGGGACAATAAAAACCAATCAGTGATTTTATCGGTTTGACTTTGCAAGGGGGAGCAAATGTGGGGCAGGAACTGCCGTGCTGATGCGAATCTAAATAAAGTTAATTGTGGGGTGGGGCACTGGGGGCTAGGAGAAGGAATGAGAAGTGACGCTGGGCTGCCCTCCTGAGGACATAGCTTCAGAGCCTACATGGCGTGGCCCATTAGTAAGGCGGAAGGAGCCTGTGGACCGGAAGAGGAGCCAGGAACCGGCCTGCTGCTTGGTTTCTCGGAGAGTCATTTGCTCTGAGTCACTATTCACTTCTCCGAGGGGCTTTGCTCCTGGCAGGTAAGTTCTCTTCCATTGCTGCGTAGATCTCAGCTCACTTCTGCCTAAGGCACTTTGCAAATAGGGTTCTTTTTTAATTAGCAGGTGACCAAAGGTGCTTAGATTTTGGCAATAAATTGTAGCTCATTTAATTCTCCATTTATATATACGATGTGGTGGTTACTTATTAAATAACAGGTACCAGGTATTTTCAGGTAGGTCTGTTGATGCTAGATTTCAGGAGTCTTGTTAGGGAAAAAAGTTCAAGTGTACCTGAACTCTTTGAAATGAAATGAAATATTGAATATTTAAGTGAAATGTAAATGCTGACCTATGAAAGCACTTCTCAGAATCATTGTCTATTTGACAGCATCTTAATAGCATTCTGTGTTTTGTAACCAGACAGCTGCTTGATTGAGTATTGTTCTCTAAACCATTGTAGTTGTGTTCAAGTTATTTGGATAAAACTTCAAACTAGAAGTTTCTGTTAGTGCCTACCTAATACACATAAGAAATCCAACTTCTTCCAGTTGGATTGCTGTTGTCTGGAGCACTTAGGTTGGGCTGTTTTGTTACGGCTCATTTTCTAAACTTGTGCTGTGTCCTCAGCCTCTTCTAAGCTGAAAACAGATGTGCCCTCTTTCGGGCTCCCAGCGGGACTTGAGCTCTGTCCTCTCCCAGATCTTGAGGACATAAGCTCCTGGCTGTGGGGTGGGAGCGCCCAGCCCTCTCCCTGCAGACAGTAGTGCAGAGTGGAGCCCGAGGCTGCAGCCACCTTGCAGAGGAGGTGGGGAGCGTATCGGTCACCCATTAAAACTGAAGGGACCATTCCCCTGAGGACAGGGCAAGATTGGCAGGCACAGAGCACTCAATTCACAGTGCAGTGGACTGGATGGGCTGGGACATCTAAAATGCCCAGGCCACCAGGTGTCACGTCCAGATTGATCCAAGATGTGAGTTCAGAGGCAGCACAGCTCCTGGGCCTCGGGGCCAGCCCTGGCATGAGGCTCCTGTGTGGGCACTGGGTGCTGGGGACACCTTCTGTTCCACTCCATGCTTGCCGTTTGCTGCCCTTGTTCGATCTCCTTTAACAACTCAAAGCTCATCTTCTAACTGAAAATAGCTCATTCTTTGAATCAGAGGCTCATCTTATTACTCTTGCATCCGAAGAAGCAATATGTCAGCAAAGGCATGGCAGGCTGGTTTGTGGCGAGTTTCACAGTAGCTAGCCCATGAGCCACAGCATGGATAAACATGCATGTGGAGCCTGCCTGTGTGTGTTGCAGGCATGCTTATGCATGTATGTGCATCCAAACACAGTGTACGTGGTAGAGTAGCAGAAAGATCTGTGAGTCACAGCTGCTTCCAAAAGAAATAGCCTTTGTTTTTCTTATTTTTCATAATATACTATTTATTTTCAAGGTTTTATTAAAAAATTGATTTGCAGCCCATCTTAGAAAGGTTTACCCCTTTGTATTAATGCATAGCAATTTCTCATAAGCCACATAAAATACTGTGACTTGAAGTAACTATTTCTGAATATAACTGTGTGAGAATTTTCACATTCATATTGTTTTCTAAAATTTTTCTTTTTTTTTTTTTTTTTTGCAAAAAATGCAGTTTGTGTGTGCATGTATGTGTGCGTATCTGTATCCAGTGTGTGTGTGTGTGTGTGCATGTGGTGTGAATGCACGGTGTTCTATTACATGACACTCCAGTTAGTAGCTCCATGTCATCTAACGTGTGTCAGGACTGGCCACCTTGCTTTAGGAATTGCCGTGGGGAAATGCATATGGATTTGACTCCTTGTGGTTTAAGGGGATTGACACGATTCGGTCCGGTCACTAGTGCGGGGAAGCTGTAAACTGGGATCGCTGGCTAACCTTTATTTGTCCTTCCTCTAGACAAGCAGATGCCCAGTGTCAGGAAGGCAGTGCAGGCACAGGGCGGCACCCACCCAGTCAGAACCCACAGGAGCCACCCACGTCCTCTGAATCATCTCACACGTGGAAAGCCCCAGCACCGCCCCCGGAGGGCCGTGGCCGAGCGGGGACGCTACCTCGCGACTACAGATACCCGGAGGAGAGCACCCCGGCAGCCTCGGGGCGACACGCCCGGGGACAGGACTCCCAGCCACCGAGCGCGGCCCCCCGTCCACCCAGGAAGGTCCGCGGCCCCGAGGGCACACCTGCCCCTGCGCACCTGGTGGCCCCGGGCAGGGCCCTCTCTGTGCCCCCAGAGGACACGTGCGTGGCCTGCCTGTCCCTCCCCCACGGCCCCTCCGTGTCCCGCAGTGCCCAGCCCCAGGACGCCCCGGAGGCTGCTGCCTGCCAGCATGTGAGCCAAGGTGCCGCCCGCCCCGAGCCGCAAGCCCCGCCGCCCCCCGTGGGCCGGGCCCTGCCCCTGCGCACGGCCATGGATACCTCGCGCTCCCCCTCGCCTCAGTTCGCCCCCCAGAAGCTGACGGACAAGCCCCCCCTGCTCATGCAGGATGAGGAGTCAACAAGGTACGGTCCTGTGGTGGTGGGCACCGGCCCCCTCCCCTTTGCGAGTGTGCTGCCAGGGACGTGGGATTTCAGCGGGTCTTTCGGGGTTATGCGTGTGCCCTGCTTCAGCTCAGGGCACTAGGTTTGAAACGGTCCTGGAGGGTGGCCGTGTAGAGGACAAGGCAGCCCCAGTGAGGGTTGGTTTTTAGCTGTCAGGGGCTGCGCTCTCCTGCAGGGAGTGAGGTGCATGGGAAGTAGGTGGTGCACGGCCCCCTCCCCTTCCCCAGGCGCCGCGTGTTCACACCTGCCTCGCAGATCTGCAGACTAGGGGTGCGGTTTGTTGTTGTTTTTTTGCACATTTAATATTTGTGATCAGATTTGGGTTTAACCTAAGCACGAGCGCCCCAGCAGACTCAGGGCTGCATGCTGAAATTGGTGTTCAGGTGAAAAAAGTGGTGTTTTTCATGATGTCTGGTATTTTCATGCTCCTTTTTTTTCCAGATTTTTTTTTTTTTTTTAAATGTTAAAATGCTAAGCCAGGCTGGGTACAGTGGCTCACACCTGTAATCACAGCACTTTGGGAGGCTGAGGCAGGAAGATCACTTGAGGCCGGGAGTTTGAGACCAGCCTGGGCAACACAGCAAGACCCCATGTCTACCAAAAAAAAAAACACCAAAAAACCTAAGCTGCTGTACACCTTTTATTAAAGCAGAAGAAAACCCAGTCCCACTTCATGGTGCGGTTGCCAGAATGGGAAGCATAGAATTGTTCCATCTGTTGATACATGTCATCAGGCGGGGACTGGCCATTGAAGAGCACTAACTGTTTAGCTTTCTTCACACAAACCCCACCTACTCGAGTGCCTTTGAAGAACTGAGAAATAGAAGAAGGGGAGAACTTTGATCTCATTCTCTAGAGCAGTGGTTCTCAACCTGGGCGGGACATTGGCAATGTCTGGAGATGGTTTTGGTTGTCCTGAGTACGGAGGGGGTGCTCCTGGCATCTAGTGGGTAGAGCCCAGGGATGCTGCGAGATATCCCACAGTACACAGCACAGGCCCCCCGTGGAAGGTTAATCGGACGCCCACATCACCAGTGCCAAGGCTGAGAAACCTGCTCTGGAGAGGCACTGCCCAGTGTAGCAGCCACCAGTCACTTGTGTAAATGTAAGTTAATGCAAATCAAATCAGAGGAATTCAGTTCCTAGTTGCACCGAGTCTGGCGAATGGCTGCCATACTGGACAGCACAGGTAACAGGTATTTCCATCAGCACAGAAGGCTCTGCTGGACCTCCCTGCTCTAGAGTCTCCATCCATTTTTTTAAAGATTCACAATAACTCAGCAGAGAAAGGGCCTTACTGTCACTAATACTGTACCTTCAGCTGTAGCATCTCAAGCACAGATTTATCTGTGGGCCAAAACCGTGCGTTGTATCATTTAAAATGTAGTTAAAAATCACTTAAATAGACTTTTGATTGGTAACATCATCAGGTTCCGAAAGGAAGGTGTCAGTCTGTCCAGGCTGTTATAACAAAATCCCATAGACGGGCAACTCATAAACAACAGACATGTATTTCTCACAGCTCTGGAGGCTGGACGTCCAAGACCAAGGCCTGGTGGAGTCTGTGTCTGGTGAGGACTCACTTCCTGGTTCATAGATGGCGCCTTCTCGCTGTGTCCTCGCGTGGTGGAAGGGATGAGGGAGCCCTCTGGGTCCCTTTTATAAGGACACTGATCCCATCCCTGGGGCTCCACCTCAGGACCTCAGCACCTCCCAAAGGCCCCCCTCCTCACACCATCACCTTGCGGGTGAGGCTTCAGCACACTATTCCCGAGGGGACACGAACATTGAGAACATAGCAGAAGGAAAGGCAGTGACGGAGTCTGTGTGGTGGGTAAAATGCGTGGTATTTTCACAAGCAGGTCGGGCCCTCTGGGCGTGGTGACGGGAGCTAACGCGGGCAGCGGACCCTGTGCGGAATCAGGGCCTGCTGCGTGGGCGTTAGGAGGCCGGCAGTAGTGTTCGTTTTTCCCTGTTCCCAGTGAGGGTTAGTTTCCGCACTCTCTTTTATTGGCTGAGAGGGAGTCCAACAAGCAGTGACAGTGCTTACCGAAGATGCTCAGGAGGGATCTTTAGGCATCTGCATAATTGAGTATTCCCGTCCAGCGTGTCATTTGTCATTTGGGACCACAAAGGAGGTTTTATTGCACACCTAAGGCTCTCCTGTTGTCACTGAAGGCTGTCCTGTTGTCCACTTCTGTACACGTGCTCGTGGAGGGGCACATTCTGGTCGAGGGCTTTGGAGCCGTCCCGTCTGTGTTCTCTCTGCCCTGCTCTAGGGATACGGTCTGGCAGATGGTGGTTGTGCCCCCTAGGGAAGTTGCTACCAAGTCTCTCCTAATGCACTGACTTTAATGCCACCGCCCCCAGGGCGTGTGTTGCTGGTCAGTTCTGGTATGAAAACGTGGAGTTACCTGTAAGACTCGTAAGAGGCCAGTGCTCAGCAAGGGTCCTGGCCCTGCTCTGTGCCGAGGACAAAGGACTTGATGGCCAGCAAATGACACTGCTGTGAAGGAGCTCCTAAACCGCCTCAGCTCAGAGCCGCGCTCCTCGTCCTGGCTGCCGGTGACCCCCTGTGACTCTCCGAGCGCGGGCCACCGCCTTGTCTCTGCTTATCATGCGTGTGCAGGCGCTGGCAGCCTGCCGGGGGCTGCCTCTGCCTAGGTACCAGGTGTCGAGCTCTGCAGTAGGCATGCAGAGCAAGAGGAAATGGAACATCCCCACAATCTCAGGAACAGCACAGAGTCGGCACTCGTGCCAAATAAACATTTCTCGACGCTGGTCCTGTAACTAAGAAGGTTACTCTCATGCCTTTTAAAATTCCGTGAGGTTTTTCATCTTGTTTGACTTTTGCGCTGTAACATGGTGAGGGTGGCCGGCAGCATCTGCCGTCCCTGTCAGTGGCAGTAAGTGACTTGATTGCCCCCAGCAGTGTTCTCAGGAGAGTTCTCCTGGAGGCCTGTGTCTGCGTTGGGAGTGTGTCAGCAGAGAGCCAGCCAGGCTGCTTCCAGGGCCCCTGCCGGCCTCCTTACGGCTGACCAGCATCCGGGTCTGCCACTCTTCCGAGCGGGTCAGGGGGTTTGTCAGCCCAGAATGAATGACAGGCAGGGCTGAAGGGCTCCTGCTGCCGTCGGTGTGGGCAGAGCCGAGGCCCGTGTGACACCGGGGGCTGGCCTTGCGGGCAGCAGGCAGTCACCTGGGAGGACCCCAGGGCCTGGCGCACCCCACATCCCCCTCTCTGTCCCTCCTGGTCCTGCCTTTCAGTCAGGAATTGATGAGGGCTGGTTGCTGTGAGGTCTGATCCACCGTGTTCTGCCCTTATTTTGAAGTCAAAGTTGGTCAAACTTTTTTTCACATGGAAGGCTTGATCGTTTTCCAGAAGAGACACTATTTCTGTTTAGACGTGCGCAGCAATCAATGCTTTGTTGGAAAGTACATGCGGGCCTGCAGAAGATTTGTTTTTGTTGTTGAATTTCTGCTGTTGTGCTTTGCTTCACTGGAAACCCAGTTTCTCCGCAGATGGGGGAGATACAAGGACGGCTGACTGGGAGGTCCGTAGTAGCAGGGGGCCGGGGTTTCTGAGTGTGGAGTGAAGTGAATCTGCATGTTTTTGCATGTTGTCCCTTGGGTAAGGCAGCAGGGTTTTCCGTCTCAAGTTTAACATATCTAACTGGCATTTTCCACAGTTAGGCTCTTCACATTTCCCACTAAGAAGCAGTTGTGAGGACTGTCTTTGAGCGCCCGGATAAAACACATCAGCTCTTAATGGTGTCTTTTGGCGGGAGGGAGGAAAATACAAGACCATTTCCTGTTAGCCTGTGCACCACACCTTTATGAATAGGGAAGGAACCGTCTGTGTTCCTAGTCACCAGTCAAAGGGGAAAAAACAGCATTTAATTTAGAGCATCGAGGCTTCCCTCATGTTCCAGAAAATTGAGTCCATTTGTATAACATTGTAGAAGTGATTTGCAGTTCAGTGTGCTACAAACACACCCTGAGATTGGGTCCAGGGAGTTTGGCTTGTTTTCTTTTTTGCTTCCCTCCTGGGCGCCAGCAGGTGGCTCTCTTTCTCCAAAACTCCTGGGTGGTCTGGCATGGTGCAGAGAGAGCTGCCGGCTGGGGCTGTCCCAGACCCACTGTGGCCTTGCCAGCCACCTCTTCCCATCCTCTCTCTCCTCCCCGGGGTGCTGTGGTGCGTCCCGCCTCCTTTCACCCAGAAACCGTACGTAAAGAAGGAAGCGTGTGCCCTTTGGGAGTCACTTAGGGTAGTACAAAAGCCAAGAGCCCCTGTCTGCCACGGGATCCTGGTCTCCCTGGTGTGAGGGTCTGCGCGAGGGCGGCGCCAGGTGGGGGTGGGCTGCGGGCAGGTGGCACTGAGTCCAGCACAGCCGGCCCGGAGGGGAGTTCTGCTCTGGCCCTGAGAACATGTGGGGACTGGCAGGCCTGCACCAACCTAAGCACCAACAGCACTGCTGTGAAGAATGCCCGTACGCTGCAGGTTTCCCCTACAGAAGAAAATCTAACCGAGTGGGGCTCGTTAAAGTTTGCATCATCGGCCGGGCGCGGTGGCTCACGCCTGTAATCCTAGCACTCTGGGAGGCCGAGGCGGGAGGATCGCTCAAGCTCAGGAGTTCGAGACCAGCCTGAGCAAGAGCGAGACCCCGTCTCTACTAAAAAAAAAAAAATAGAAAGAAATGATCTGGACAACTAAAAATATATATATAGAAAAAACTAGCCGGGCATGGTGGCGCATGCCTGTAGTCCCAGCTACTCGGGAGGCTGAGGCAGAAGGATTGCTTGAGCCCAGGAGTTTGAGGTTGCTGTGAGCTAGGCTGACGCCACGGCACTCACTCTAGCCCGGGCAACAGAGTGAGACTCTGTCTCAAAAAAAAAAAAAAGTTTGCATTATCATTGGAATAACCACAGAGGACTAATAAACAATCCTCACATCCCTCCACAAAGCGCCATAGGCCTGTGGTTGACAGTTTGAGAATGGAAGGAGTCAGATGCTGAGGTCAAAGGCCGAGTTAGGGGTCGGAGGGAAGCTCTCAACCTCCTCTACCTCGTCCGGGACGTGTGACTGTGGAGGTCCTTCTGCTTGGGTCGGGTTCCCCATCCACAAGGGGAGGGCGGGGACCTGCCCATCTGAGTCCCGGCTGGGAGTCTGTGCCTGGGTGCACTTTGTGATCGCGGCAGACGGCTCTTCTCCTTCCTCCAGAATCGAGCGGGTGATGGACAACAACACCACGGTGAAGATGGTGCCCATCAAGATTGTGCATTCGGAGAGCCAGCCCGAGAGGGAGAGCCGCCAGAGCCTGGCACGCCCTGCTGAGCTGCCCGCCCTGCCCAGCGGGCTGGAGAAAGACCAGATCAAGACGCTGAGCACATCTGAGCAGTTCTACTCCCGCTTCTGCGTGTACACGCGGCAGGGCGCCGAGCCTGAGCCCCCCGGTGCCTGGGCGCCCCCCGAGAAAGACGGCTGTGCCTCCCCGCCTGGGCTCAGCTATGTTAAGGCCAAAGAGAAGACCGTGGAGGACCTGAAGTCGGAGGAGCTGGCCAGGGAGATCGTGGGGAAGGATAAGTCCCTGGCCGACATCCTGGATCCCAGCATGAAAATAAAAACCACCATGGACCTGATGGAAGGGATCTTCCCCAAAGACGAGCACCTCCTGGAAGAAGCTCAGCAGCGGAGGAAGCTGCTCCCCAAAATTCCGTCACCTAGAACCGCAGAGGAGCGGTAAGTAGAGGCTGCCTTCCCATCGGCGTGACGCTGCCCGGCCTCTCACAGGCTTTTAAAGGGAGGAGGCATGTCCGTCTGTTTTCATAATTGCTTTTAGGGGAGACAGATTTTCCTGTAGGCTCCCCGGTGCTTAGCATTTACTGGCTTTTTTTTTTTTTGAGCCTCCTGGAGGAGAAGCTAAGGGTTGATGGCCCTGTCCCTGGAGATGATGACTTTGGGGCCCAGCAAAGGTGTGAAAATACACGCTGCAGCCCACCAAGCTTTTGTGGTAGGCTGCGCCATTCATGACGATGCCCACAGGTCTCCTGGGTTCTCAGTGGGGCATTGTCTGTCCCAGGGGACAGTCAGCAATGTCACCCCGGGGGAAGGTGCTCCTGGCACCTGGTGGGTGGGGCCCAGGGACACTGCTCACCACAGCGCGTGGAATGGCCTCCCCACAGTGTCGTCCAGCCCCACGTGGACGTGTCCACAGTGCTGACGCGAGAACCGTGTCCTAAGAGGAGCAAAGGCTTAGATTGAGCATGTGTGTTTCTTCACGAGTTGCTTTTCTAAAAATTTATTTATAGTTTGTTTACATCTGAACGAAAACATTGGTGTTACTTATTTTTGTGAATAGCACGTTCAGCCCCCTCCTTCAGTCATTTGACCCCGAAGGCGTGCGTGGTGACACATTTCGTGTGTTTATGCATGCTCTGTGGCACAGATGTCGCTCAAGGGCATAGGGTGGAGGCTGTGAAACGCGGCGGGGAAGGAGAAACAGGAGATGGGACCCTGGCGAGAGGAGCCCATGTGGCTGCTGGTGGAACAGCGCGAGGGGACGGCATTTATGGATACCGTCACCACTCTGTGTCCCCGTCTACCTCAGGCTCCCGGTGGGAATTTTCAGACATTCCCGTTTACTCGAGTTTTTTGCCCTTTTTAAAAACTACATTCCGGGCCGGGCGCGGTGGCTCACGCCTGTAATCCTAGCGCTCTGGGAGGCCGAGGCGGGTGGATCGCTCAAGGTCAGGAGTTCGAGACCAGCCTGAGCAAGAGCGAGACCCTGTCTCTACTAAAAAAAAAAAAAAAAAATAGAAAGAAATGATCTGGACAACTAAAAATATATATACAGAAAAAACTAGCCGGGCATGGTGGCGCATGCCTGTAGTCCCAGGTACTCGGGAGGCTGAGGCAGAAGGATCGCTTGAGCCCAGGAGTTCGAGGTTGCTGTGAGCTAGGCCGAAGCCACAGCACTCTAGCCTGGGCAACAGAGTGAGACTCTGTCTCAAAAAAAAAAAAAAAAAAAACAAAAACTACATTCCATAGGCTTAATGAATATCTATTTCGTGAGGTTGTGTTTAAAGTTTTACTTCATCACCTATGCATTTGTGTCCCTGTGGCTGTCTTGTATCCCTGGCTGCTGGCCTTCCGCTAGCGCCCACGTTGACTTGTCACCACCCAGGGAGCCGGACTGGGGGTTGGTCTGCGGGTACAGTCGCAGCTAGCTGAAGTGCCGCCATCTTTACCCAGGAAAGAGGAGCCGCGTGCGCCTGCGGCTGTGTCCCTGGCCACCAATTCTACCTACTACAGCACGTCGGCACCCAAGGCGGAGCTGCTCATCAAGATGAAGGACCTGCAGGAACAGCAGGAGCCGGAGGAGGACTCAGGGAGCGATGTGGACCACGACCTATCCGTGAAGAAGGTACGCGGGCGCATGGTGCTGGGACCACACAGTCTGCCACCAAAGTCTGAGGGCATTGGTGTTTGGCCTTCATGCAAGACGGTGAAGTTTAGGGCAGTGTTACTATGCCGTTTGTGGTTGATTTTGTGTTCCAATCTTGGGCCTGTCCACAGGATCTCTTTGCTGTCTTTTTCTGCTGCTAAGATCCGATGCCACATGAGTTTAAACAGGCACCAGCCATTCTCTTTCATTTTAAGTTGAACTGATATTTCCCCTCTACCCCAACTAAAATTTAGGGGACTTAATTGTGTGACCGTCAACAAGTCACCTATCTTCTTTGAATGGCAAGTTCAAATCTTTATAACCAGATGATCATAAATCCAGCAGTGGATCTGAGAGTTCCTGGTCAAACAAAAGGCATTACCCATTCAGCTCCCACAAACTCACCCAGGCCCTGGAGGATCTGGCAGTGGACAACAGAATGGAGCCCTTTTCTGAGGGAGCCTCTGTTCTCACAGGAATGGTGGGCTGCGGCCACAAAAACAAATACACAACGCAGGGTCAGGAAACTGCAGCCTGTGGGCCAAGCCCAGCCCACTCCTTGCTTTTGTAAATAAAGTTTTATTGAAACACAGCTACATCCATTCATTTACATACGGTCTGTGGTGGCTTTTGCACTACAGCAGCAGAGTTGAGCAGTTGCAGCAGCAACCATATAGTCTGCAGAGTCTAAGATATTTACTCTCTGGCCCCTGATAGAAAACACTGACCAACCCTTGATGTAATACGGTTGGGCCATAAGAGCATTAAAACAGCGTGAAGGGATAGAGAGAGACAAAGGCGTGTGATGGCGGAGGGGGCTCAGGAGGTGGTGACTAAGCAGAGATCCGGTGGTGTGAGGGGCAGGCCCCCTGAATGGTGTGCCGGGGAGGGAGGCCGGCAAGTGCAGAGGACCTGGGCTGGGACGCTGCCGGCGTGGGTGAGAAGCACAGAGGCCAGTGGCTGGAGCTGTGTGGACAGGGAGGGGGTTGAGATGAGGTTAGAGCAGGACTGAGGCACAGGTTGTGGGTGGCCATGATGGTCACGGTAGGGCTGTTCCTATCAGTGCTGATGTCATTACTCCTCTGTTAGCTTTCAGTCTTCGTGGGGCATCAGCAAGCCAGACCCGTGACATCTGGGCAATTGCCAGCCTTCTATGGAAAGGACGTAGCATAAACGCATGAAGGTATTGCCAAAGAAAGTCAGGGTCAGAGGATGGCATGTGTTATTCATCCCAGGGCCTTGAGTTTGCCTTAAATAGTCAGCACTGGGGGAAAAAAAGGAGGGATCCAGCATTCTGTGAGTGTTTGCCGTGGACCTAGCATTTTGAAAAGAGCGTTCATAAAAAAATGCTACTTTTTTCTTTTTTTTTTTTTGAGACAGGGTCTTGCTTTGTTGCCCAGGCTGGAGTGCAGTGTTGTCATCATAGCTCACTGCAACCTCAAACTCCTGGCCTCAGGTGATCCTCCCACCTTGGCCTACCAAAGTGCCAGGATTACAGGTGTGAGCCACCACGCCTGGCCTGGTTTTTCTTTTTTCTTTCTTTTTTTTTTTTTTGACATGACCTTTGCAAACAATTATGTCGAAAGTCTACTTGTATTACTAGGAATTTGAAATATATCGCTGGTTGATTTCAATTATGATAGACACATTCTGGAAGAAATACTATAACATACATGAAGGTAAATTATTTTCAGTTTAGCAAACAACCTTTTGGTTCAAGGGATTAAAAAGGTAAATGAAAAGTAAGGGTTTGGGTCTTGGGGCTTTTAGAGATCCTCTGTCTGGCTCAGGGTACCATTTGCTTTATTCTGGTTGCATGTTCCTTTTTTAAAAAAAAGCAAAAACAGAATCCAAAACATTTTCAGTTTTTTCTCATAAAACCAGAAAAATTGCACTGTTTGGACCATTGTAACTTAGGCCACACTGTAGAGGACTGCATTCGTCACAGGTGTGCCTTTGTTTTTCTTGCCATTGTGAATTTTAGAAGCGGTGTGCCTTGATCCTGCTGCCTTCATTCATCTGGCCCTCTGTCTCTCTGCTTTGGGGGCTTGAGACCCCGGATGCCACCTTCCCAGCAGTGACAGCTTTGGGACTGAATGGGTCACTGTGAGCGTGAGGCAGCCTGACACTCCTCGGCCAGGGAGCATGAGTCGGGCAGTTGCACCCTAGCCGCAAATCCTGTAAAGCACAGCTCTCTGTGGGGCTTGGGACTCAGGGGCCCTACTCTTCTGCTTGATTTGACAGACAGGCCACCGCTGCACTCTTTTCTCCCTTCTTCCCAGCAGCCACCCTAGTCTAGGAGGGCTAAATATGTTTTTATGCCTGGGGCAGCTCAGGCAGGTGAGGCCCAGATTGAGTTGTGAGGATTCTTCAGGAGAAACCAAGTTTGCAATCTTTTCCAATCCAGCCTTTTCCCTGGAACCAAGAGGTGGGTGCAAAGGGAGGAAAGACTTTGTTTCACCCACAGAATGGCACAGAGGTGGGCACCTGGGAAGGTACCAGGTGGAGGAAGGGAATGGCCCAGGGCTCGATCCCCCCTACCCCGAGCCTCAGCCCACCTGAATGGTGGAGAGGTGAGAGGTGGCCGTGCACCTGGCCTCTGCTCCAGCCAGCTCCAGCCTGAGCCTCCCGGAATGCCACGTGCTGCAGGAGATAGCAGGTGGGCTTGCCAGGCAGCGGACACAGCAGTCTGCGGTGGTGATGCCTTCAGCACCCTGGGTGGTGCCAGTAGCCACTGATGTGTGTGCTGCCTGGGGCCAGGTCTCCTCTCAAAATCTTTGAAAGCCAATGTCTGCACTTCCTGTAATGGCCCTTTAACAAAAACAGGGAAGGGACACAGAGCTCCTACGCTCTCCCCAGACACACCACCTCCAAAAACCTCCATCATTTCAGCTCTCTGGAAGCTCCCTGAACCCTTGGGCCCTTTATGGAGATTTCATCGGATAGGTGTGATTGACAACCGTATAGAAATGTGACTGGACAGAAGGGGTGTGATCCAACACTGACAGACTGAGTGGGAAACCCAGCGAGGCCTGTCTTTTCAGATTCTTCTTGGCCTGTGTGCAGCATCCTTCCTCCCAGGCACAGGGCAGGACCCTGTCCAAACTCAGGGTCTTTTCAGTCAAATTCAGAAGGGCAGGGGAAGATTGGAGTCCTGCCTGGGGCAGGTGAAAGCAGGGCAGGAGAAGGAGAGAGAGAGACAGAGAGACAGACTGTTTTCTGAGGCCTACAGCACCCAACATTATAACAAGGGCGTGGGAGTTACAAGCCAGGAACCCTGGACGAGAACCAGTATGTGCACGTCATAATATCACAGGTAGGTAAACAGACACGCACTGAGAGAAAACATTTGCAAAATCTTGACACATACTTTTGTTTTTTTTTTTTTTTTTTGAGACAGAGTCTCACTCTGTTGCCCGGGCTAGAGTGCCGTGGCGTCAGCCTAGCTCACAGCAACCTCGAACTCCTGGGCTCAAGCGATCCTCCTGCCTCAGCCTCCCGAGTAGCTGGGACTACAGGCATGCGCCACCATGCCCGGCTAATTTTTTCTATGTGTTTTTAGTTGTCCGATTAATTTCTTTGTATTTTTAGTAGAGACGGGGTCTCGCTCTTGCTCAGGCTGGTTTTGAACTCCTGAGTTCAAACAATCCGCCCACCTCGGCCTCCCAGAGAGCTAGGATTACAGGCGTGAGCCACCGCGCCCGGCCAACACATACATTTTTTTAAATCATAAGAAAAGAACATGTCTCGACATCCTGAGCCGAAAGAGAAGAGCAGTTTATAAATTCCACGTGGTCCGTCTTAGGAGAAGAGCCGTGCCGATTAGCCGGCGGTGGGGTGGGTGTGCTGTAAAACTCTCACCGTGTTAATGTGCCGGGAGGCCGGGAGTGCTGATAAACCTGAAGGCAGCTGGAACCGGGAGAGGCACCCTGCTGAGGGCGCACACTGCCCGTCTGTGGGCTCGTGTTGCAGACACGGATGCTGGGTGGAGGTTCCCTGTGGGAGCATCCGTGTGAGACGGAGGCCTGTAACAGGAAGCGTGGTTCCCGGCGCCAGCGGCTCAGGCGTTTCTGCTGCTGCGGTTGACGTGCCCTGGCACTCAGCGAGATAGCCACTCGTACTGGACTGCAGTTTATGGCGTCAGGGCAGCCGCTTCTCATCCCACATCCCACTGTTGGTGGTGACTGGAACTCACGGGCTCTTACTAGATTCGCACACTGCGCTGAGCACTTCCACTCTGTCATCTCCATCTTCTTCATCCAGTCCCAGAGGTGTGGCTGCGGCTGCCCGTTTGGATCAGGGACACGGTGTCCTGGAGAGCTGCAGTGAGACGTTCACGTCCTGCCTGTCCTGTCCCGGGTGTGTGCCTCCACTTTGCGTAAAGCAGTGCTGCTCCTTATGACAAAGTAGCATTAAAATCCCACTTGAACTTTCCTGTGCACACGAACTGTCTAATCTGCAGTTTGGCCGTGCACCTGAGCACTCCCTCGGTTTTCAGTGCACTCACCTTACGCTGCCAGTGGACCCGGGGGAGCCGCGGTGGTGGATGTAAGCCTGGATTAGCCGAGAGTGTCTCATGCAGGGCGGTGGCAGTGGGAGGTCTCGGAAGGCAGCATGTCACTTTCCTCCGAGCTGTTGCTGCTTCGTGCCTGACCCCATGCGGGCCAACACCCGTGACGCGTGCTGTGGGTGGCTTCAGTGGCAGAAAGACAGCCATGGCCGCAAGCAGGGGGGTTTTCCAGGGCACAGCTTACTTGCTGTGCTCCTTTGGAAGCACCCTTGTGTAATCTTTCTCAAATATGTGATGATGGAGGAGGAGGAGGGAGGATCAACTTTCAAATCAGACCATGTGGTGCCACTTCTCTTCAGGACGTTGGCTGATTTAAAGGGTTCATACTTTTCATTTTTATGTTTGCTCTTTAAAAATTAATCTTTTAGGCCGGGCTCAGTGGCTCACACTTGTAATCCCAACACTGTGGGAGGCCAAGGTGGGAGGATCACTTGAGGCCAGGAATTAAAGGCCAGCCTGGACAACACAGTGAGACCCCATCTCTATAAAAATTTAAAAATTAGCTGGGTGTGGTGGTTGGTGTGCGGGCCTGTAGTCACAGCCACTCAGGAGGCTGAGGCAGGAGGATTGCGTGAGCCCAGCAGTTTGAGGTTGCAGTGAGCTATGATGATGCCACTGCACTCTACCTGGGGTGACAGAGTGAGACCCTGTATCAAAAAAAAAAATCTTTTAAAGGGCTGGTAGGAGGGTGTGTGAAGAGTTAGTGTTTAATAGTTACGCAGTTTCAGTCTCGGAAGATGAAAGTTCTGGAGACGGGTGGTGGTGATGGTTGTGCGGCAGTGTGAATGCCCTTCATGCCACAGGAACGTATGCTGAAAACACTTAAGATGGTGACTTCTATGTATGTTTTGCCACAGTACAAAACAATAGTCATTTATTTGCATTTTGGTCAAGCCGAACTCAGTAGGTTATAGTAAAAAGACTATCTTTTAAGTTCATTGGAATCCTTTTGTTTCTTTTGTTTCATTTTTAAATGCCAGTAATAAAACCGTAAGTCATTGTCCTTCCCCTAGTCCCGTAAATCCTCTATTATTTGACGATGCAGAAGCAAGCTTTCACCCAGATGGGCTGAATCCCCCCCCCGGAGCGCGTGCGCGGAGGGGCGGGGCAGGCCTGACCCTGTTTCCCTGCTGTCCTGTGCCCAACAGCAGGAGCTCATCGAGAGCATCAGCCGCAAGCTGCAAGTGCTCCGGGAGGCCCGGGAGAGCCTGCTGGAGGAGGTTCAGGCCAACGCCGTGCTGGGGGCTGAGGTGGAGGCCATCGTGAAGGCTGTGTGCAAGCCCAGCGAGTTTGACAAGTTCCGGATGTTCATCGGGGACCTGGACAAAGTGGTGAATCTGCTGCTGTCGCTGTCAGGCCGCCTGGCCCGGGTGGAAAATGCCCTCAATAATTTGGACGACAGCGCTTCTCCTGGTGATCGGGTATATGCGAACACGTCTGACCTGCACATGGCGGGGTGCGGGGGCCGCGGGAAGGCTGTCCCGGGGTGTTGCGGAAGTCGGTTTCTTGAAGCCTAGCAGTGTCCACACGGCCTGTCCGCTGCTGAGTGCAAGATGGTTCCCAGACGTCCGCTGTCGTGCCACGCCCTCTCTTCCTCTGAGGGAGGGGAAGGGTGCTCATCGGTACAGGGAGCTGGGCCAGCCTCGGTGGCCTGCAGGGCTGCCGGGTCTCCGGCAGGGCTGTGGCCGCCTCTTGATGTCCTTTCAGATATTCCTGCTGGTCGTTACTAATAGTGGTCACTCACTAGAAAATAGTCGTCTGTCTTTTCTTTTTTAACTTTAGCCTCGTGTAAGTCCCTGGAGGAGCTTACCCACCCTCTGACACATCGTTAAGTACGCGATAACAGATTCTATTTTACTGCTGCTGTTGCTGTGATGTGACAAAAGGGCATACAGCAGTCTAGAAGGAATCAGAGGGCTTGGGCGACATTCCGCCCCTTTCTAAGGTGTGTGACTTTTGAGACATCGCTCAGTAGGTCTTTCAGCTTTTGTACGTATGAAATAAGGGAGATAATATCTACCTCATAGGTCTAATATCAGTAAAACATCTGGTTTCCTCCTTTGCACATAGCAGGCCTTCGAAATGATCTTCTCTATCGTCCATAAAACATCTTAACTTCTCGCAAGGGGAGCAGACAAAGTGCCCTTCCCCTTGCGCTGGGTGAAGGTGGTTTGTGGCCGCACAGAGGGACCTCCTTGTGCTTGGCTTTGCGGCGCGGCCGTTTGCTCTCGCCCAGTCCCTGGTAACTGTGTTGTTGAATCCACTACAGAAGGCGTAGGACAGAGACCAGGATTGCACCCACTTTCTCTTTGGGCTATGGTTGTACTCCATGTTGCTCTTTTTGCCATCCTGGCCAAATTTATCTGAAAGAATTTAGGAAAATGACATGAACAAGAAAGAGGGACTGATTTGTACATTATTGGAAAGTTAAAATCCCAGGTATGGATGTAATTGAAAATTGGAGTCATCTTGGCAACGGCTGGCTGGGCTCACCTTCCATCCCTCTGGCCCTCGCTCTTTGTGGAATGGACAGAGGATTCCTTGGAATTGAGGGGAGAGGAAAGGAATCCCCCTCCCGTGGAACACGCTCGTGGTCCCCTAGGTACTGGAGCCCACACTCCATCCCCAGGGGCAGTGTCAGAGTGCGGGGCCCGCGGTGCTGAGGAGGCATATCCTTGGGGCAGTCCACGGTGGGCCGCTCTTCCTCGTGGCTATGCACAGTCGCAGCTTCACCTTCCTGACCTGAAGGGCACACTCAGTGGCCACGTCCAGGTGCAGTGCAGTGGCCTGGGTATCCAGTGCAGCTGTGTCAGGCCGCCGGGGCATAAGGGGCTAAGGTTTCCAGAGACAGGTGCTCATGAGTTAAAAGGTATGGAGTCGGGCTGCAGAGGGCTTCCTTTGTCTTTTTGGCTAGAACATGGACACGTGGTCTGATACAGACCCGGGGCCTCCTCGCCACGCCTCCCATGCCAGCGGCGTCTAGGTTCCCATGAGCCTGGCAGCCTTTAGCAACCTGAGCCACATTTCTAGAGTCCTTAACGTGTGTCCCCTTTGTTTGGAACTGGTTTGCTTTGCCTTGCCTCTTTCTCTGTCACACACGCCTGAGAAGCAAGGTGCTGCACACGAGCGGGCAGGGTACTCTGAAAGGCAGTGTGGTCACGGCACGTCGCAGAAGCAGCACACCAAGGGCAGGCTCCGTCTGCAGCCCTGTGTCCTGATAGTGGCAACAGCTTCTCTCTGCTGAACCCTCTCTGTGTGTCTGGCGTTTGGCAAGGGGCCCCAGCACCCTCCGACGCCGCCCTGTGGCCACTGGTGAGCGTCCCTGCAGCATCGCAAAGTGGCACAGCAACAGAGCGATGTCCTGGTGCCCAGATAAGAGTCAGGGGCTCACACCTCCATCCTCCAGCCTACATTCCTCTCTCCCTCTCCTGGTTTTCATTCGAGTCGGAGTCCGTAGGGAAACTAGGTGCGTGTTCTTCGAGCAGAGAGAACGACCGTGAGGGTGGTGTTCGGGGAAGGGGTTGTCGGTGTTCCCCAGAGCGGGACCCTTGCGAGGAGCGAGGGAAGCGATGCCTGCTGCCCATCCGCAGTCCTGCCTCTGCGTCCTGCCTCGAGCATCCTGGTCTCCAGATGCACTCACGGGCTCCTTCTCCTTCTGCCCGGAGGGTTGAGAAATCCTGCCCCAGGGTTTCTTTGGAGTTTCCCCTTTGCCACTTTCCTCGCAGCGTTGTCATAGAAAGGGCATTGGTGCCAGTAGGGTCGCTGAGTCCGTGGCTCCTTTGGAGCATCTCAGAGTTCTGTCATTTTAGTCCCTCGATGACACCTCTGCTCACCACTCTTTCTGTTAGCCGTCCAGGTAAGTGGGAAGAGGTGTGGTGCAGACAGCGGAAGGAAACCCAGGGAGGCCCGTGGGCAGCTTTCGGGAGGGCTGGGCTGGAGCCTGCGACAGCCACCAGGCTTGCACCACCTGCTTCCCGAGTATTTCTGTGTAGATCTCTGGTGGCATCAGGGTTTCCATTGACAATCTGATGGGCAGCCATGGGACCAGCCCCCAAAGGTGCTGGCATTTTCAAGGTTGGCCAGAGCCCCGGCTTTCGTGACGTTGCTCATGGGCTTGTCTCTCTCTCTCGACAGCAATCCCTGCTCGAGAAGCAGAGGGTGCTCATCCAGCAGCACGAGGACGCCAAGGAACTCAAGGAGAACCTGGACCGCAGGGAGCGCATCGTCCTGGACATCCTGGCCAGCTATCTCAGCCAGGAGAGCCTGGCGGACTACGAGCACTTTGTGAAGATGAAGTCAGCGCTCATCATCGAGCAGCGGGAGCTGGAAGACAAAATACACCTCGGAGAAGAGCAGCTGAAGTGCTTGTTCGACAGCCTTCAGCCGGAAAGAGGCAAATAAGAGGTCCATCCCCAGCAGAGGCTACACGTTGGTCCGCTGAGCCCCGTCCCCAAGGATGCAAGTGAAAACCCAGCCTGTGTTTATGTCCTGGAGAGAGACTCCTCCTTTAGCAAAGGGGCTATTAGAAAAGCAATAACTCTCTGTTTGGTATGACTTATTTAATTTTTTAGTTTCCCTTTGAACGCTGAGCAGAGTGGCTCACTGTCAGCCGTGTTCCTTTAAACATAAGCACACCTGCCACCAGGCGTCGCTGAACAGTGAGTTTCCACCGTGCTGGTGTGTGCTGGGCTTGTGGTGCATGCAAGCAGCCCTTTTCGGTGGTGAATCTGCTGTTCCTCTCGTCTTCAGATGCTGCACCAACCACCTGGGAAGCGACCAGTGCGTCATTAGGTGCATGAGAGGGGACACCCTGGCACGTGTCTTCTCTTCTATTCGTCAGGGCATGGACTGCCGTGTTTTGTCCCTGCTTGTTAATGGTGTGAGCATTCGTCATCTGTCGTGAAATGATGTTCTCTGACCCAGCGAAAATGGTGATGATGATGATAAGTTATTAACATTTGGAAGGGTGAATAGTTTTCTAGTGGTTAGAAACCAACTGTGAAATGAACAACCTACGTCTTGGGTTCCATCATTCTAAGATTAAAATCGCTACTTAAAGAAATAACGTGCATGCTTTAAAACACACATGCACAAAGCCAACAGTAGCTTTAGTCCAGAATTCTCACTCGACATCACAGTTTGGATGATATTTTCCTGCAAACCAAATTAATTGGTTAAAAATATGTCCAGTGATCATGTGCTTGTTACCTGTTTCCCAAGACCCAGAATATTTTTAGGTGACTTCCCCCCACCCAGAGCATTTTTTCATGAGTGTGGTCATGAATGGTAATTGGCTCCTTTGCTCTTTTTGCCTCCTTCAGTCGGTTACCATGAGGGCCACACTCCATGTACTGTAAGACCCCTTCCTCCAGTTTTTCAGAGGTCCCGTGGACTATACAACTCCTAAAGTTGACCTTTTTCTGCCACAGTTTAAAGGTTCTGTACCCTTTTTATTGGTTGAAACAGCGAGATTCTAAAGAGAGCCTTATTCATTTAAAAAAAAAAAAAAAGCACTGTCTTGCTGTCAGTTTCCAATTGACAAGTCACAGACTGGGAGGAAGTATTTGCAAATCC